AGCAATGAAGTAGGAGCTCTGTAAGGTGGTAACTCAACGTGTTCCTTTCTAAGATTCCCGATCGCTCGTTGCATTGTTAAAGGTTGGCACAGCATGGGGTCTCCGGGCATATGGATAGTGAAAATGGGAAAAGCGACAGAAAGAGGAGGGGGAAGGGGAAAAAAACATCTGTCAGAATGACCCAACAGGGGTCAAATACAGACAAAAAATTAACAAACAGCATAAGTTTCATGGACTTCACATTATTCCGCATGATATCTTTGCTCCTTAACCTGCGTTACCGGAGGAGGTAAGATGTAAAACCTGCACCGAAGGGCAGCCTTGTCTATCAGCAAACGGGAAGAGAAGGGAGGCCCCAGAAATATTGTGCGGTTCGGCAGCACCTGTGGGTGAGATGCAGCCCGTGCTCAACATCGGCACAGCAGTCAAGGAGAAAAGTAATTGCGCCATAACATTGTGAGCGGATATAAAAAACGAGCCAAAGAACCTTAGGTGTATCTAAACAGAACGGAGCATGTAGGTAGTCACAAAATAAGACAGAGGAGTACCATTACATGAATCAATAACCGCGAAAACGTGAACCTGCAAGGAAAATTATCAGCGGGAATTAAGACGGCCTATGTTTTGCCGTGTGAGAAGTTGATGCGTTGGCACTTAGGCGGCTCTTTTCGAGGACTGCGTTGGTCTCTCGGACCGGGGTCACGTGGTGACTGCTGTATTTGTCGAGGGCCCAGGTTGTCGGTTAAATTCTGCAGGAACAAAAGGGCTTCCTCTGGGTGTGTGTACGATTTGAGTTCCCCTGTGGGCGTGGTGAAGCGTAGGTGGCAGGATATGCCAGAGTGAATTTGACCCCCTTTTGAAACAGTATGGCACAAATTGATTGAAACGCTTTTCTTTTGTGGGAAACTTCTTGGGAATAATCTGCAAAAAGTAAAAGCTTATGCCCATCCAGCTGTAGGAAACGTGAATTACGGAATGAATTTAGTATAGCAAGCCGGTCCGCGTAATTGAGATATTTGACAATTATTGAGCGTGGCGTACGTCTATCATTGGAAGGTGTGCCTAGGCGGTGAGCCCTTTCGACCTGGCATGATGTCAGTATGCCTAGTGCAGCAGGTATACGTTTAGAGCAGATTTCAGCTAGCAAACCCGAATTATAGGATTCTGGGAGACCCACTACGCGTAAATTGTTTTCTACGTGACCGATTTTCTAAGTCATCCAGTTTGTCCAGAATACTTTGTTGCTCACGTTTAGATTGTGTAACGCCTGCCTGCATAGCTTGAAATTCATCCTCCAAATCAGAGAGGCGGTGTTCTACATCTGAAATGCGCTTTACCTTTTCGCCGAGATCCCTTCTAAGTGTTCTATGCCTTGGGTCACAGCCCTATCCACAGCCTGTGTAATGGTAGGCAATAGTAGAGAGGCAACGGCTTGTGCAATTTTTTTAGCCTTGCTGATCTGTAGGACTACAGGTGCCCACAAGCCCCAGTGTGGGGGTATGGGGAGGTTGTGGTTCCCTCCTACCTGATCCATGGTCTGTCCCTGGCTGTGTGTCCATCTCCACATTACTGCTGTCCGCCCTGGGACCTGTGGTTGCCACTGCTGCAGCCGCCCTCAGCAGCGTGTTCGGCGGCCATCTTAGCTGCAGGAGAGGGAGAGAGACATCCCTCCCAGGAATCGCGGCGGGATCGTGGCCGGGTGCCGCTGGTTTCAGGTACCGATCCATGGGGATCGGGGTAGCGGGTCAACAGGGGGCACCTCTGTGCCTAATGCTGAGGCTCTCCGGTGCAGGAAGCGGGCGCGTTATATGCCGGGGTATGCCGGAGCCGCGGGATACCGCCCCTGCTACATGCGGCGCCGGAACCGGAAGTCCAAAGACGAAAGGGTCCTTTTAAAGCAACTTCTAATGCAACATGGAAGAATGAGCAATATTTTAAATTACAAGCTCAGGAGAGTCTTTGAAGCTATATGTGGTGTTACAGAACAGTAACATTTCCACCAAAATCATCATCAGCATTCTGTAATCACATATTTTAATGCGATTTTCATTTTTCAAGGCTCATGCACACAGCCATATCTGGCCATTTAATGCGTATTCCCACCAATGTTTCTGCCTATAGGCCTACAGGTGCTGTGTACAGCAAGTTAAGACTAGACACACGATTAAAGAGAAAACCCTTTAAGGACAAATGGACTTTATTGGCACCCCAAGAAGTCACAAAAGAGCAAATTAAAAATGTATTCGCAATTTATAAAAAAAAAAAAAAAGACATCTAAACCCCACACAACATTTGTGTGACCTCTGTTTAACAAAAGATGAACTCACTCGCTAAATGCGATGCGTACAACCAGAAAGGGGTACAGAAACCCAGTGCGGTTTTGTACACACTAAATAATATTAGATTGGAGGGCTATGGGGGGCATCCATAATTCCTTGACATATTTAGTGCAATGTTATTTCTTTTGATGCTGTCCAATGTAGAGGTGAAGGTATATTCCTTTGTCCCAGAGCATGGGGTGCAGGCTTGTCCTGATACCAATCCAGAGGGCTGGTAAATGTAAAGAGTGGACAGAATCCCCACTACTCCCGAACCGGCCAAGGTGAATAAATGATAAAGCCTCAGCCTACATGTCCCCACCACACACCCTGATACATTTCTCACAGCCCACCGGAGCTTAGTTATAGGGTGCCCCCAAGACTAAGTCCTGGTAGTTGGGGCAAAATGCAAATATGCATCAGGTTGTGTGGTGTGGTGGAGATGTAGGCTGAGCCCTCTCCTTATTGTTTGTTCCTCTGGGAGTAGTGGCGATCCTTTCCTCTGTGTTTTTCGTGGAAAGCCATTTCTTCCTCATTGGATTGAGGAGTCCCAACAAAAAGATTCTAGATAAATACAGACGTACCTCGGTTTACAAATTTAATTTGTTCTGCAGGAATTTTCGTATTGTGAAAAATTCATAAAGCGAAACGCGGTTTCCCATAGGAATGCATTGAAAACCAATTAAAACTTTATAAAGTGCACTTTAAAAGCATAAATACTGTACAGGGACATGATTTAAAAAAAAAAATTGTAAATGCATTGAAAACCAATTAATCCATTCTCATTGCGAAAAAATTAGTAAACCGAGCCGTTGTTTTCAATGGATTTTCATTCGTAAACCAAAAATTACATTAACCGAGGTGTTGGTAATCCAAGGTATGGCTGTATGTACAAAGATAGATATTAACCGCTTCCTGTCCTGTAGAAGTACTGCTACAGGGTGGTACGGGTGTGCGCAAAATTATATATATATATACATACATGATTTTGCAGTTCCGGGTAGGAGGCACGCGAGGCGCACGCACGCATGCCCTACCCACGCTACCATTTGCAGCATTGGCTGTCAATCACTGGGTCCCAGCCGGTGATTACTTACCGGCACCCAGTCATTTAGACTTAGACGTAGACTTTTTATGAACACTTTATTGGTTACCAAAACATGCAGGTACAATGTAAAATGCAATGCGTTTTGGCCAAAGAAGCCTTCCTCACAGCTGTGAAGGCTTCTTTAGCCGAAAAGCATTGCATTTTACGAGTAAACATGCCAGCACGGGGGACCCGAACACCAGCAAGGAACTAGCCTTGGTAAGGATGGTGCTGGATCTATGGACAGGTACTGTAAGTTTAGGTGTCCTTTTTTTTTAAAGGTCAGAAACTACAGTATTTAAAGCTGTTGACCTTTATTTTAAAACTGAAAATAAGTTTTTAAGAATGAAGCCTAGGTTTAGCAATTTTTACATAGTTACACTGGTATAGCTTGGACCAATGTAAATATGTGCCATACCTGTGGATCCCTGTGGAAGCTGGAAATCACTGTAGGAAGCACTGCTGCTATGATCACCCCAGGTCTCATGCTGTGCAGATGCCTTGCTGCATTGTAAACACAGGGAATTGCTTGCTCAGCACAGGCACCATTCAGGGAATAAATGTTTTCAACGAATGCAAAGCGTTCTCTGAATGGATAAGGTGGAAAGGGCAGGGTGGTAAGGTAATGAAAGGTTGTATGCTGTAGCCTTTAGAGCACCTAAATAGGCCTGAAAAGGCAATAGGAGCTGGTAATTGTGTCAGGTAACTTTTTGGAGGGGAGGGGGATTGATGACAATTAAAAATTTAGTCTGTAGCATCAGCAGCAGAAGTTTTGTAGTCATTGGTAGTTGAAGACTGGTTCACTTGGATGAAAGTGAGCTGGATTCACCTCAACATTTCAAATCCTAGAGGACCTCCCAGGTGGCACAATGGCGGCATGGTAGCCATTGAAGGAACGCTGATGCTGATGAAATCACTGCAGCATTTCTAATGTTAAGATCCAGTAGAATGGGGTTTTACAAGTGAGACATTTGGAAGACAGCTCATGTTGGCATTGCATTTCTGTTGGGTGAACCATGGCCAGGTATGACTGCCTAAAGTGGTTACAAATCCTTGGGGACTGAAGAAGGACCTCCTGGAAGCTAGGGTACTTCATGACGAACCACTGCACCACCAAACAGAGGACATGTGCAAAACAAGGTATCAGTCTGATTTATTCCCAAGGGAAAGGCATCTAGCACATTGGACATGGGATCAGCCACCTCTCCACCTGGGCATGGAAAGCAGCTTGCAGCTCAGGCCCAGTGTGGCTAAAATCATTGAAAATATTTTCAACCACGTAAGAAGCTGTTACATTCTTCAAATGTCCTGGAGGAAATTGAGAAAAACTCCAGGATGTTTATTGTGTAATGTTTCCCACTACCCCAATCCCACCCACATAACTTAATGACTAAAGTATGGGTTGTCAAGTGGGAACCAATAAGAGTGAATCATTCCTGAATGATCCCTACCTCTGCCGATTACAATCACAATTACATACTGTACTCTAGTGTTCTTTTCACACATTTTCCTAGGCTTGAGCTTTAAATGTGATCTATGCTAAGAATGACTTTCTATTTATCTTCTTCTCTATGTTTCACCACCAGGGAGTCCACCTTTAAATGGGATCCTCCAGGAGGTCATGACTCCTCTAATAGACCACAATACATGTCATGAAATGTATTACAAAGGGGGAAGTTATGAAAACATCCAGGATGAAAAGATTTGTTCTGGCTACAATGATGGACAAAAGGATTCCTGTCAGGTGGGTGACACCAAGAACATTCAAGAATGGCTCACCTAGGTCTGACCAAAATATTAGTTTTTACTTAATTGCTGTCCATCTCCTTAATTCCTGCCATTTTAAAGGCTGTCACAGGAAGTGATACGAGGAGCATTCATGTCAAACCAGGACTTTTGAGTTTATATAATAAGAGAACAAATTTTAAGGAGTGGAAACTGCATTCATTTTTCTAAATACTCCCCTGCTACATTTATACACTTATCCCAGCATTTAATTGATGCCTGCAAAAGCTTTGGCATAGAAAGATTTGTTAGTACGCCTGAACTATCCTAGGAAAGCCGACTTCACTTCATCATCAGTGTTGAAATGCTGACCACTGAGGATCTCCAAACAGGTGGAAATCACTTGGAGCGAGGTCCAGGATGTAAGGGGGATGTGGCAATACCTCCCAGGCGAGTTGCTGTAATGTGCATGTAGTTTGGTGAGCAGTATGAGCTTGTGAGCTGTCCTTGAGAAATAGGATGCCCTTGGTGATCAAACTAGGCCATTTGTTTCCACAGACATCACTCAGAAATGGTCAAAAGTGGAAAGCTGTCTTGGTAGCCAGCATGTGCGAACGTTTCAAAAATGCAAACAAAAAAAAAAAATGATTGTGAATGATTGTATTCACCGTTCCCACAGAAAGATTCATCTCTTGTGCAATTTCATGAAAGGTTATACGTCGATTATCCAGGATCAGGTGTTCCATGTGCTGGATGTTCACAGGAATGAATGACTGCTATGGAATGGGAACCACCATGTCTGGGATCGTCACTGATGGACGTACGGCCATCTTTGAAACGTTTATACCATTTAAAATGTCTTACTGAGCGTCTCATCACCGTACGGTGCTTGAAGTCACCTGTAGTTATCCTCAGGTTTTACACCTTCATTCACAAGAAATGTCATCACCCACACGCTGTTCCATGCACGCTCTAACACTGTTGTATGCCATCTTGATTAATGGTCTCTGGACTGACCTGCAACATGTGGGCCACCTCCCAGGCTGCATCCCGTGTGAATATCTCCTAAACGGTGCAAGTTTAGGAGATGTTCATTGTACCTAGAAGGAAGCCTTATTATAGGCTTACCTGTAGATACAAATTTAAAAGTGAATTTTACTGCCACTTTAAAGGGTAGATGCCAGTCTGGAATATTAATGCGTTGAATGTACTTGGGGGAGGTTTGAGGGAAGTTTGGCAGTTTCCCGGGGGGGGGGGGGGGGTAACATGACTGAAGTTAAGGTGCTGAATATAAAGTCTATTAAAGACAATTGGAGTCAAATATTAAAAAACTGTTCTGGTCATTTTCTAGGCTAATAGGCAAGGGGTTGTCAAATAAATGGCATGAGGGGTCCTCATGCAAACAAAAACATCATTTAGCTGGGAGCAGTGATTTTAGTAATGCTTAAATTGAAACATTAAAAAGGCAAACTCTATTAAATAACATGTCTATGGGATCCCCTGACCCTGCCTGTGTGAAGTGGAGCATCTATACAATGTATTCAACATGACATTTACAAAAAAAAGAAAATATATAAACCAGCAACAAAATGACCGCTCCCTGTTGCTACATTTTGTTTAATAAAAATAGTGAAGGATTCCCTTTATTATTATTATTATTATTATTGTTCAGGATTTATATAGCACCTACATGAAGAGCACTTTCATCCCTTCATCTATACCAGACCCTTATCCTAAATGAGGCTCTGCTATAGATGTTCACAGGGGGACCTCCACACACAAAAAAATAAAATGACACGGGGTTCCCCTCTAATTCACACCAGTCCCTTTGTGTCTAGTAAACATTTTAAAGGGGAACTCACAAAAAATTCAAGAAAAAAAGTGTGAGGTTCCCCCACAAAACCATACCAATTCCTATTTCAAGCCATGGTCTGGCCAGCCAGGAAAGGCAGGGGACAAGCATCTTCCCTTCTTGAATCATACCATGTCACATGCCCTTAACATGGGTGGTGCCTTGACAGTGGGTAATCTCTGGCAAAGCACCTTTTACTTATGTTTAAGAGAGCAAGGGCCTCTTCCCCACATCCCTGTCCCAGTGGTTGTGAGGGTCTGTGGAGGGTGGGCTTATTCATTCACAAAAGAAAATTTTCAATGTCAATTACATAAACCAGCAAAATAGATCCACATCAACCACAATGCCCAATGCCAACTAACCCAATGAAAGGAAAAATAAACCGCCCACTGACACATCGCTGATCCCATCACTTCACTCCCACCAAACGACAGGTCCGGTGAAGGACAGCTGATGAATACAAAGGGACCAAGGTTTCTCAAGTGGCTTCATTGACCATACATAAACATAACTATATGTGGTCATTGATGTCATGGGCATATCGGTTTCTTCTACAACTGTATGTGCAATGTTTCAAACACCGCACATACAGGTGACAAAAGAGGGACAGAGAGACATTGCAACCACCACTGCAGAGGAGAAGGAGGGGCATGGCTTTTGTTTTTTATCCCTCTTGTCCTGTCTGTATGTGCCGTACTCGGAACACTTCATGTACATTTGTAGTATAAAGTGGGAATGTGTACATAGAGGGAACTCCTACGGGACTCCAGGCAGCACAAGGAAATATAAAGAACAGGGAGTATGTTAGTTCGGTAGCAGTGCTATTGTAGAAGTAAACTCAGAGGAGGAAATGTATTCAAAAAACAGCTAATACTTGTAAGTTGTATTTGTATTATCAGATTTAAAAAAAATACTTTATTTTCTCTTTAAGGAGAGGCTGGAGTTCAGCTTTAGATAAACTCACCCATTACAATTGGCTTGGCTGATAACGTTCCTGTACTGGTGCCAATTCAATACCCATTTAATAAATGTTCCACTAGTATGTGTAATTATACATTTCTGGAACTTATACAAGGGAATTAATCAAAACTGGAGCAGCCAGAATCTGGAGCAACTGTGCATGGAAACCAATCAGCTTCTACATTCAGCTTGTTCAGTTAAGCTTTGAAAAGGAAAGATAAACACTGACTGGTTGCTATAGCATTGAGTATTTCCCCTCTACATGTTTAGCATGTAAACATTTTCTTGAATTATTCTAAACAGATAGATGTTGGTGCTAATGATTATCAATATCTTCCAGGGTGACTCAGGAGGACCTCTGGTGTGTAAGGTCCAGGGCGTATGGTACCAGATTGGAATTGTGAGCTGGGGAGAAGGGTGTGCAAAACCCAACTTCCCTGGGGTGAACACACTGGTGACGGCCTACCAAGCCTGGATCAGCAGCTACCTGCAAGTTTCATTTAAAGATGTGGCAAATATCCCCAAACCAGCAAGGACATGTGGGGGAAATCTCACCAACCCAGGGTACACCAGCTCCACAACACATGGAAGAAGTACTGCCAGTATGACAACCAATGTTCCTGGACCAACAAATGAAGGAAGCACTGCCTATACGAAAACCAATGTTCCTGGACCAATAAATGAAGGAAGCACTGCCTATATGAAGACCAATATTCCTAGACCAACAAATGAAGGAAGCACTGCCTATACGAAGACCAATGTTCCTGGACCAACACATGAAGGAAGCACTGCCTATACGAAGACCAATGTTCCTGGACCAACACATAAAGGAAGCACTGCCTATACGAAGACCAATGTTCCTGGACCAACAAATGAAGGAAGCACTGCCTATATGAAGACCAATATTCCTAGACCAACAAATGAAGGAAGCACTGCCTATACGAAGACCAATGTTCCTGGACCAACAAATGAAGGAAGCACTGCCTATACGAAGACCAATGTTCCTGGACCAACAAATGAAGGAAGCACTGCCTATACGAAGACCAATGTTCCTGGACCAACAAATGAAGGAAGCACTGCCTATACGAAGACCAATGTTCCTGGACCAACAAATGAAGGAAGCACTACCTATACGAAGACCATTGTTCCTGTACCAAAAACAACATCTGAAGGAAGCTCCATCACATCCAGCCTTTGGCACCATTGCTGGATGATCCTGGTCCCAACTATTCTTGTGCTCACAATAATATAACCAAAAACTGCCATCTTATTTGACCTGAACATTGATTTACTAATAGGGATATGCTCTCACTTTGGTCCAAACACATGCTTGAACTGAACTTTGCTTGATTGTGCGTTTGTCCTAAAGCCAAACGTTTAACTCATTTGACAGGAACCACATTTCAAAATAATATTGTTTTTCTGCCTATACTATATTTGACAGCTTCCCTGTTAATGCTTGTTATGGAAACAGGAGGTGGTGACACCCGCTGTGTCCTTAACAAGAAGTGACAACATTCAACCCCATTGTTGGCCATGTAAATGATGGGGCATAGATATAGCTGCCATTACTGAAAACAAAAATGGCCACAAGGCCATATTTGTTCAATAACATCATTGGGAATACCCCCTTTGTTTACATTTAACATGGGGGAATGGGAGCTGCCATATGTGGCGAATGTAGCAACAGGATCAGAGGGCATCACTCATCTTGATTGATGACCACTGGATGAAATGATTAATGGTGGGACTCTTTTTAAATAAATTGTGTCTTTATTCACACTCTACATTTACTTTTTTTTCAAGAGCAGAGAAACTATTTACCCTTATTTATTTATTCACAAGGGCAGTATCTTGGTCCCCCTTTTTTCTAAAGGGTTCTTCACAGGGGTGTACTGAAAACTCATGGGGCCCCCGGGCAATAGGGGATCATGGGGCCCCTGTGTCCTTGCCCAAACTCAAAAAAGCCTATGAAAAAGGTACCAGGGGCATCTCATGGGGCCCCCTACTGACCCTGGGCCCTCGGGCAATGCCTGAGTTTCCAAATGGTCAGTCCGCCCCTGGTTCTTCTAGACTTCCCTATCAACATCTTCAGAAGGGGTTTACACACTTATTCCTCTTTCCTTCCAGACTTCATGCTTGAATAAGGGTCCGATGTTGATCTTGTGGGGGACCTCATACTTTTTTTTTTTAATTTGCAAGCTAAGTAAACAATTCCCTTTACAAAGTGAGCATGCTCTATATCTTTAGTAAATCAAATCCACTGCTTTCTATCCCCAATATTTCATTATATGGAAAATTGGGGCAGTTTCTCAGCTCCCTAAAGTCTATCTAAACTTAAGAATAAACATGTAATATGTCTCAGCTTACAAGTCCTTAGATTAGGAGCCTTTTTCCTGTGCTGGGGTGGCTACACTCACTTGCTCTGCTGTATTTCTGGAGGAGCATCAGTGTCACCCTAGGACAGTTTGTGTTATGATTACGCTACACCTCCCTTTCTCCTACTATTTGTAAATGGGGGGGTTCTATAGTCCACAGGGTTGGACCAAATATTAGTTGTCAGACCCCAACGTAGCCATTGCATTGCTTAACAGTGCAGAATAAAACAAAGTAGAGGTGAGCAAACATTTAAAAGGTTTTGATCAGTCATGGCACAGCACAACATTTTAAAATTTTGTAAACTTCAAAAATTTGATCCAAATCTTTCCTCATCCAAAGCCTGAGATCAACTCTAAAGAAAATCTGTCAAGAGAGAAGTATGGAGGCTTTAGTCCTTTCTGAGTCATGTATGTATGAATAAAAAAAGTAATTATCCCCAAAAGTATTAAGTTCAACAATAGTCAGTAGAGTGGTGGACCAGAAACCTGAAGAGGGATGGGGCTTAAGAATCCAAATCAGGAGGCAGTTATCTGTCAACTTGGGTAACCTTAGCATCCCCCAGTGTAGTCTTAGCAATGTAGAATACAAGGGGGGAAAAGTCCTCTTTTTTGGTGGGACTTTAACGGCACAATTTACTTGTATGATAAATTTCAACAATTCAAAAGAGATTTTTTTATAAAAACAGTATGAAATTTTATTTTTACAATCTTAAAAATAAATATAAAGTTAAGTGCAAGCCATGCATGATCCATGATTAGATTTGCAATACCATCTCTGATGACACCGCCGCAATATGTATTGTAGCTTTATATTTATTTTTGAAGATTGTAAAAATAAAATTTCATACTGTTTTTATAAAAAAAATCTCTTTTGAATTGTTGACATTTATCATACAAGTAAATTGTGCTGTTAAAGTCTCACCAAAAAAGAGGACTTTTCCCCCCTTGCTTGTATTTACATTATGGCACAGCTCCAAGCTGTAGATGGAAGGAAAAAGATCGCTCCACCGGTAAGTGAGAAGATGGGAGTCCGAGCGACTCCA